AGTGGATCACCTGAGGTCAGGAGTTTGAGACCAGCCTGGCCAATGTGGTGAAACCCCATCTATACTAAAAATATAAAAATTATCTGGGTGCTGTAGTGACCACCTGTAATCCTAGCTACTCAGGAGGCTGAGGCACGAGAATTGTTTGAACCTGGGAGGTGGAGGTTACAGTGAACCCCAAGATTGTGCTACTGAACTCCAGCCTGGGCGACAGAGTGAGACTCCATCTAAAAAAAAAAAAAATTAGAGCCTGCTTCTGATTCGGAGAGCCATGACTTGTCTCCAACAGGTGTACTAACTGGTAGTACCAAGCACTACCTAACCCTGGACTAAAGGGAGATGGTCAGACAAATGCTTATTCTTGAAGAGATACTAATTATGGTACTGAATCATGATCTTGTTGGCACAGTACAAATTATTCTAGCCAAAGGTATTCCATGACCTTGGCTTCAATATTACATGAGCCAATTCTTCATGCTTGCAGTGTTTAAGAATTAAGTGTGGGTGTTTGTATAAATTACCTGTTATTCACCGTGTCTTAAGTGGCTTGCTCTTTTTCATTTTGATTTTTCATAGCAGGGACTTCCCCAGCATCACAGCAGGTATCAGCACCACAGCATCATTCCAGCACACCTGGGGATTTTACTTGGCTTTTTGTAGAAGAAAATGCATCCTCCAACAATTTCACAACTGGTTCCATTCTCAGGCAGTTTGATGTTTTTAGAATGTGGTTTTGTCTGAGGTTCCAGGATTCCTGGTTGATCCCTATCATGTTCATCTTCAAAATAGTAATAGGCAGAGTTCCTCCAACTTACTAGTATCGAGGTTTCTGACATCTTCAGTTACTAGGGATCAGCTTCATAAAGCTGTCCTCCTTTGGCAAATGCTTTAAACTCCTGCAATTCTTTACCCAGAATAACCCTTAACTGCTTCACAGTCATATGTGTGAAGGCAGGTGACGCTGAACATCAAACCCGTGAGGTTCAAGGTAGGAGGGGTAATAAGAATTCCTTTTACATATGTTTGCTGCCTGAGTGAAGCAGTTGCTGTAGCAAGTTTAATCTTTTTAGTTGAAAAGATGCACTCTGCATCAGCCTCATGAATACATAATGAACCCTCATCAACCTCACTAATGAGACTGGGGAAGTGACCAAGGCTGCCATATTCAGTTAACCAGGCAGGTAATGTTGTTCTAAACCCATTTTATCACCAGTACATGGAGGTGATGATAGACGCTAGGTCATTTCTCTTCTCTTTAATCATTGTAGGCAGAACCCATTTACATTGTAAACACACATAAATGCAGGACTTTCATGAAATCAACATGGATTTTTAGTTGAATGCACTGACATTTATTGAAAGCTGGCTCCTTGGGACAGTTTATCTGATAAAGCTATATCTGTTTCTCTGATGACTGATTCTGAGGTCACTCCAGTGGCTTTTGGCATCCGATATGGATTCCAGAAACAACAATTGATTTTGGGGACTTAGCAGTAAGCTTTGGTGTTCCTCCATCAGGCTTCACCATAATCATACCCCAGGGATTCAAAGAAGATATGATAGTAGACGGCGTGATTTTGAGAATTTTCAATTTGTAGTCACTCAATAAGAGTTAACGGAATTAAACTCTGTTTTGAACTTACGTTGGAAACAATAAAATATTTCAGTATGACAGTACACCTTTCTCTCTGCTACCTTGTCAATTGGCTTTAAAAATGTTTAAGCCTTTGAAGAATTACTTTATAGATCAACCTCAGTTTTCTATAGTACTGAATTTTTAAAGTCGAGCTTGCTAGATTTTGATTATTTTAAAAATAAGGTGGGGAATTTTAATCAAAAAATTCAGTAAAGTGCCAAGATACTTCTGCTTTTAGCAAAACAACATCAATGATTCAAAACAAAGCATGCAAACAAGAAAATATTAAATTGTATCCCTACAAGAGCAAGAAAAGAACAAAACCTATCAGAATGGCTATCATAAAAAGCACTGACAGTAGCAGATGCTGGAAAGGATGTGGAGAAATGGAATCATTCATACATTGCTGGTAGGAATGAGAACTCAAATGGTGTATAAAACTTAATTTTTAAAACTTTTTATGTTGAAATAATTATAGCTTCACAGGAAGCTGCAAAAAACATGTTGATGTGTTGTGCACCCTTTCACCCATCTTCCCTCAGTGGTAACATCTTATCTAATGATAGTACAGTGTGAAACCCAGGAAACTGACATCAGTACAAGCCACAGAGCTTACGTGGATTTCTCCAGCTTTACATGTGCCCATTTGTGTGTGTGTACAATTCATGCAATTTTATCATGTGTGTAGTTTCATGTAGCCACCAGCATAATTGAGATACAGAACTATTCCATCACCTTGTGGCTGCCTTGTGTTACTCCTTTATAGTGTGTCTTTATAGTGTGTCTCTCCTTTATAGTGTGTCACTAGCTCCTTTACCCTCATTCCCAACCTCTGGCAACACTATAATTTTATTATTTCAAAAATATTCTAGAATGTTATGTGACCATTATACAGTGTATAACCTTTTGAAATTGATCTTTTTCCCTCAATATAATTTCCTTGAAATTGATTCACACTCTTATGTATATCAATAGTTTGTTCCTTTTTATTACTGAGCAGTAGCACTGGATGTGCTACAGTGCGTTTAACTTTTTACCCCTCGAAGGGCATCTGGGTTACTTCCAGTGTTTGGCAAATATGAATAAAACTGTTATGAACATTCGTGAACAGATTTTTGTGTGAACTTCATTTTCATTCCTACGGGATAAATTCCCAAGCGTTTGGGATTGCTCAGCCATATGGTACCAACATGTTTAGATTTAAAAGGAATTGCCAATCTAATTTCCAAAGTGGTTGTACCATTTTAGATTTCTGCCAGCAATATATAAATATCCAGTTTCTCTTCATTCTTGCCAGCATTTGGTGTTGTCACTATTTTTTATTTTAGCCATTCTCATGGGTGTATAGTGATATCTCCTTGTGGTTTTAATTTACAGAGATTTAATGGCTAATGATGTTGACTATCTTTTCATGTGCTTATTTACCATCTTCAGTGAAGTGTCTGTTCATGGAAGTAGCCCATTTTCTAATTGGACTTTTTGTCTTGTACTGTTGAATGCTGAGTTATTTAGATATTCTAGATATGAAAACTTTGTTGGATATGTGGTCTGCAAACAACTTCTTCCAGTCTGTAGCTGGTTTTTCCAGGACTTTAAGAGGGTCTTTGGAAGTGGAAAAGTTTTCAATTTTATTGAGCTCTAGTTTATCTATTTTTCCTTTTTATGGATTGTGCTTTAGGTCAGGTGTCCCCAGCCCCAAGGCCAGGGTAGGAACCTGGCCACACAGCAGGAGGTGAACACTAAATTAGGGCCTGGGGTTTGCCTCCTGTCAGATGAGCGGGGCATTAGATTCTCATAGGAGCGAAAATCTTATTGTGAACCACACATGCGAGGGATGTAGGCTGCACACCCCTTGTGATAATCTAATGCCCATCACCCTCTCATCCGCTGTCCAGGGAAATTTGTCTTCCACAAAGCCAGTGCCTGGTGCCAAAAAGGGTTGAGGGCTGCTGCTTTAGGTAGCAGATATGTAATTCTGCAACTACCCATAGGTCCTAAATATTTTTTAATGTATTTTTTATGTAAAAGTATTATGGTTTTATGTCTTATATTTAAGCCCATGATACATGTGGAGTTAATTTTTGTGTAAGGTGTGAAGTTTAGGTTGAAGGACTTATTTATTTGCCTATGGATGTCCGTTGTTCTAACATCGTTTGCTGAAAAGACCGTCTGTCCTCCATTGAACTGCTTTTGCACCTTTGTCAAAAATCAGTTGGGCATATTTTCTGGGTTCTCTAACCTATTTCATTCGTCTGTGTCTAGCTCTCTGCCAATACCACACTGTGTTGACTACTGTAGCTATAGAGTCAGCCTTCACATCACGTAGAGCAATTCCTCTCACTTTGTTCTTCTCAAATGTTTCAGATAGTCTAGGTCCTTCAACTTTCCATATACATTAAAAAATAAGCATGTGGATGACTCAAAAAAACCTTACTGGGAATTTGATGGGAATTGTCTTAACCTATAGGTCAATGTGGAGAGAATGGACACTTACTATGCTAACTCTTGCAGTCCACTAACACGGCATGCCTCTCCGTTTACTTAGGTCCACTTTGACTTCTGTCATCAGTGTTTTGCAGTTTTCAATGTACCGAATGTTTTGTTAGATTTATACCTAAATGCTTCTTTTAGTTTGAAGCAATTATGAATACTATTGTGTTTTTAGTTTCGATGTCCACATGCTTGTTGATAAATAAAAATGTGACTGATTTTTGTTTGTTCATATTGTACCTTGCTGAACTCACTTATTCTAGAAATTCCTTTTTTTTTTTTTTTTGATTTCTTGGATTGTCTGTGTAGACAACCATGTCATCTACAAATAGGGATGGTTTTATTTATTCCATTCTGATGTACATGTCTTTTATTTCTTTGTCAAGATTTAATTTTTAAGTTACATAAGTGTGCTTGAGAATATGTTGACTTGTTTAAAGAATCATTTGATAAAACTCCTATTTTTAACTGGACATATTTATATTCTATATTTTATAGGACTGAAATTGAGAAAGTGTACAGTTTTGAAGTATTTAAATTTAATGAAACATTAAAAGTCACTAGACAATTTATTTAACTAATTTTGTCTCAGAAAAATATTTGTTGAAGGAAGGTCCTCAAAAGAGATAAAAATAAAGTACACTTGAAAATGGCTCAGTATTTATATATTTTAATTTCAAAAATAAAATTTAGACAATCATACATTTAGCAGATGTGCTCTCGCCTTCCTATTATGACCACCAGAAGAGTCAATTGACCTATTTGTTCCAAGTTTATTAATCATTATATGCAACTCTGGATTGCATAATATCATATTGAATTAAATGAATTGTTCAGAAAAATACTCATGACAGATAATGGCTGAGCTGATTAACAGATGTGAATATATACCAAAGATAATTATTCTCCTTGCTGTTTTTAAATGTTTAAATGTCAACATAAAGCTTTTATTCTGCTTTAATATAGATAGATTTTATTTTGTAGGAAAGATCTCATCTTTAAAAGCTTAAAAGAAGCCCATATTTTAGTAAAAAGATAGTAAAAATCAATGTTGGTTAATCTATTTCAACAAGTTACAGAATTTTAACTAAACATCTCCTTTTAGTCTGAAATAGTGCCGTGGTTTGGACATGAAATTTTACGACCACCCTTGGTATAACTTAACTTTGAAATCACAGGTATGTTTAACATTGTGACATTCTGAAATGGAACTGCTGATAGAGGTACAAGAATAAGGAATTATCTGATTAGAGACCCCTAGGACACTAAGAGAGTGCAGATCCAGAATCGTCATAATTAGGACTCATTAGGGACACACACATGAGGGAGCAAGCATGGGATTGTGCTCTTTGGGAACTAAAGAAACGTCTGCACCTACATCAGAGAGAGGTATCCTAAGGCAAGCCTGGGAATCTACTTGTTGCAGAATAACACGCTGGTAGAGAATTGAAATACAAGATTGTGAATCCAGGGGGACTAAGAATCAAGGTTATTGAATTGGGTGAAGATGCTGGGAGTTCTAAAATTTGCTTGTGGGCTTTTCTCTTTAGTCACAGCAGTGGCCAGTGTTCACTGGGCATGTACAGTGTCCCCAGTGTAATACCATTGATGCTGCAGCTGTTCCCAGGATGCCCCACATTTATCAGACAGTGCATGCAAAGGGGCCACACCAGGAGTGTCTTTAGAGGAGTTCATAGGAGACTTCTTTGTTTCTACGTTCAGCCAGTGCAAAAGAAGGAAACAGCTCGCTAGTGCTGAAGGCACTAACCTAGAAGAAAGCAGAGACAGGGATGTTGAAACCATGAAAAAAGTCTATTCTGCTAAAATTCTCGTTGGTAGATTTGGGAGGTGTATCAGTTTTCTAAGGCTACGGTAACAAAGTACCGTAAACTGGCTGACTTAAAACAGCATAAATTTATTTTTTCACAGTTCTGGAGGCCAAAAGTCCAAAATCAAAGCATTGGCAAAGATATGCTTTCTTTGGAGCCTCTAGGGGCAGAAGGGTCTTTCCCTGCCTCTTCTAGCTTCTGGTAGCCCCAGGTATTCCTTGGTTTGTGGCCAGGCCAATCTCTGCCTCCATCTTCACATGGCTGTCTTTCCATTCTCTCTCTCTCTCTTCCTTTCGTAAGGGCACCAATCGCATTGGATTTAAGGCCTGCCCTATGCCAGTATGATCTCATCTTAACACTCATCTGAAGGATACCTGCAAAGACTTTATTTTCAAATAAAGTCACATTCACAAGTACCAGGGGTTAGGTTCCATATATCTTGTTGGAGATACAACTTGTAACAGGAGGTTTAACAATTCCTATCAAGAATCTTGAAGAGGCCAGGCACAGTGGCTCACACCTGTAATCCTAGAACTTTGGGAGGCTGAGGTGGGTGGATCGTCAGGAATTCGAGACCTGCCTGGCCAACATGGTGAAACCTCGTCTCAACTAAAAACACAAAAATTAGCTGGGCATAATGGCGCGTGCCTGTAATCCCAGCTATTCGGGAGGCTGAGACAGGAGACTCACTTGAAACCAGGAGGCGGAGGTTGCAGTGAGCTGAGATGGCACCACTGCAGTCTGGCCTGTGTGTGACAGAGTGAGACTCTGTATCAAAAAAAGTAAAATGTGTTATACTCAGATTATGGGTACCTTCAGAAATCTTCAAGAAATGTTCTGCAAACATAAGACAAAGAGAAATTTGAAAGGTCAGAAAAAGTTCTATGAATTTGTGCTGTCCAGAAACATTGCAATAAATAATACTTTCAATGTTTTCCTGGGAGAACCGACCACGGGACAGATTTTCTCATTTCCAGAAGAGATATCTGAGTGACATGTATAGTCTAATTGAATAGAATGGAGATGATCAAAGCTTGCGTAAGATAAAGTGACACTGTGTAGTCACATGTTCCATTTGAAATACTTAATACTACTGACCCCAAAGAAAATATAAATGCAAGCCAAGTCACATTTCTGCAGAGTCACAAACATACCAGCCAAAATCTCTTTTCTCTCAGAACATTTCCATGGGAAGCATAAAGTAGTTCATATAAATATGCTGACATCTTTCAACAGCTGGAAGGACTCATTCTGCCTGTTAACACAGCAGGGAACTGGAAGAATCAGAACTGGAAGAAGAAGAAGTGATTGGCATGCTGACACACTGCTGGAAGAATTGCAGTGGGGAACAATTACATTGTTCAAAGAACACTTCACAATTGGAGGGAAGAGAATTATGTCAGTGCTGAAGGATTTCACAGCCGTACTCCAAAACAAACCTGGAAATGCACATTATAGGTACTGGAAGCAAAAGAGTCTATTATTTTGTCTTCTTTTAGGTAAGTGGTAAAGTGCTGTGAGGTGGCAGAAAAGATAATTCTTACGGGGCAATTCAGCCTCCTTGTCAGACCTGGGTTTTGCTGGTTGTCATTTCCACGTGTCACTACTTCTTTGAAAAAGCAGGGCGGGGCTTGGTGTAGAATATTAGCATGAACTTGGTCTGAAAATTTCTTGCCTTCTATCAAGAAATGATTCCTTTACTATATTGACTTAGGGCTCACGAAGTTCCTAACATCAACTTGCCAAGAGGCTTTTGGCATATGACTGAAAGAACAATTAAAGAAAGATCTGATTTGGAAACACTGGATGGGCAAAACAAATTTAAGTCTTTGATTGAAGAAAGCCCCTAGGGTCGTTTTAAATTTAAGTAAGGGTGACACACAGAACCTCGTTTACTGCTTTACCTCCCTCCCTGCATGTAGACGGGAGGGTGAGCTGCATGTACATTTTGTTTGGGTTATTCAGCCCTTGCTCCTCACCTCCTGACCTCTTTTTATATCCTGCTGTGTCACCCTGGGCTGGCACCCTGCCAGATCCATCCCTCCTTTGCTAGCTGGCTCCTTCTTAAGTTCTGTCACTAGGGGGCACTAGAGGGAGACTGGAAGGAGGTTCATGCTATCAGGAGGGGCTTATTGAGTTTGGTTCCTATAATAAACAGTTGCTTCTCACCCAAGCAACTGTTTGCCCCAGCTGGTGGCAGTTGGTTCCAGTTCTTTTCATACTTCCAGACCTGGCCTCATTATGTTCTCTTAGAGCTACCGGTCCAGCCAGTCAGTGCTTGTTACTTCGATGCCTGAGTCTGGCATTCAGGGACCTGAGTTCGAGTCACCCAGACACCACCAGCCGCCTCAGTTGCATCTGACCCTCTTCAGAGCTGCTAAGACACCAGCGCCTTCCCCTGAGCTTCGAACAATCCCATCCTTGTCCTCTTTATTCCCCTGGCCTTGAGGGCATTGCTACAGTGGTCGCCTCTGCCTTTTCAGCTGTCCAGTATCTATTATCTAATTCCTTTTATGGAATTCCTTCTGTTAACAAACTGATGCTGAGTCTCTTTTCCTGACCACATCCCGACTGAAAGGCACCTATGTCTTCATACACATTCTCTACCTACTGCTTATGTAGCGACAGTGTTTGATGTGTCTGTAGGTCATTTTCTGCCATGTAGAGCCATAAGAAGGAGATGGATGCATATGTGCTTGGACAGAGTTTCAATATATCATCATGCAATCTACTTAGCTTGATCCTCAGATCCGTTCCCTTAAATAACGCTCTAGCATGTTTAGATGCTGCCTGACCTGAGGGATCTTTATAGCAGGTACTCAGTCATTAGCTGAGTCATTACATTAGGACATTTCCTGCATCAAGAGCACAGCAACTTCAGATTACAGCTTTGAAGAACGCTTAGACCATCTTTAGTTACTCTATATCTGTCCCAAAACTCAGTGAATTATTGTCTTGGGATAGCTGAAGCTAAATATTTGAGACGCAAAAGATTCACTATCAGGTACTAGAGAAAAACGGCCATGATAAAAGAAAAGGACCACTTTATTAAATACCACCTAAGGCCGATCATTCCTGGGATTAGCATAGTATCATAGAAGATTTGCTCTTCACTTTGCTAGGATCAGACCACTCTGTGATTTCATCCACATAGTCACAGTGTAGGGAGCTGTCAGCCAAGAGCATCTTGGGAGCCTTTTCTAATGGCTATAGATGCAGATTTAAGAGTAGCTAACTCCTTCACATGCATGAATACGAAATATCCAGTGGTCTATTTGAGCAGAAAGTTTTTCTCATAGAAAGAACGCATACCATCTCTGAGAGATTTAATGAAAACAAACCTTATAAAATTGGACAATAAATCATAAACAAACTTTGATCAGGCCTACACGACCACCATTAACAGATTCTTAGAGATTGCAAGGCTTCCAAATCAACGAGTAAACAACCCAGAAAAAAATCAGCGGGAATCCAGATTAAGCAGATCTTACACGGAAAGCAGACGTGGCACTAAACAATTTTTATGCTTAAGAAAGAGAAGGGGTAAATGTAGTCATCACTTGTGAGGATTTTGTAGTTGTTTGAAGCATTATGTTTGGGGTCTCTGGAGTTTCAGAAGAGCTCAAGTGCACAGAAAGATTTATTCACAGCAACTTGAAATCACAGGGCATTTTACACCAAACTTAGAGATGCATGTAGATGTGCCAGGATTTGCAGTAGATTGAAGAAGCATATCTATATAATGTAACTAACCTCTATTTCCTCCTCTTTGACCCCTGATTCAATCATTTCTGCCCAGCAGCAACAGATGTATCCATGACCTGTCTGCCCATTTTCCATGAGCACCAATGCACTCCTCTTATAAATACTTCCAAGCTGAGGTTCGAGCACAGGTTTGAATAGTCAGCACTAAGCAGTAGGACTCCGGAACTCCCTCACCTCTCCTGATGATGCACTCTCGATCACCAAGGCTTTTCTGGTTCGCGTCTTGTATTACTGTACATAACTGAAATGTCTGCCACCTTTCCATTCCCTCTTCACCTCCCATCTCCAGGAGAAAAGAAAATCGCTCCAGTCAATCCTGTAAATCTAAGCATATTTCACAGCTCCTGTTGCAAAGTGTACCATGTGCAATTTATTACCTCCACGTGCATGCCCTGAACACTTTTCCCACCTTCCGAAAAGGTCAGAACCTATCCTGTGGGCTCTTCATCCCGCCAGGTGAGCATCCGTAGTCACTTCAATATCCTTGCTAGTGACTTTTCTAGAATCCTGGTTTCCTGTGGCCATGCCTCTTCAACTACGCTCTGCTACCATGAGCAAAGTCAGAATGTGGGCCTTGACCGATACCTTCCAGAAGTCCTAGATCTCAAACCTTAGGCTTCTCTTTTGAGCCTAACTCCCGCTCCTTTCATTAGTCTCAATTCCAGACTGAACTACTGCTGAGTTCTTATTTACTCTCACTGCAGTGCCGGGCCTTGGCTTCCTCCAAAGTCTCCTTCCAGCTTCGTGATGTCCTTACTCCGCTTGCACCCCTGACACGACCTCCGTCAGCCATTTCGCTTTCATAGCACAGTGATTCTCACCCTTTAAAGGGTCTGGCTTCTGTCCTAGTCTGTTAGGGCTGCTCTCACACGTTTCAGGCTGGATGGCTTATAAAGAGAAATTTATTTAAATATATTATTGCCAAATTTATTTTTGAAAACAAATTTGTTGGCTGGGTGCGGGGGCTCACCTGTAATCCCAGCACTTTAGGAGGCCGAGGTGGGTGGATCATGAGGTCAGGAGTTCAAGACCAGCCTGACCAACATGGTGAAACCCTGTCTCTACTAAAAACACAAAAATTAGCTGGGCATGGTGGCAGGCATCTGTCATTCCATCTACTCAGGAGGTTGAAGCAGGAGACTCACTTGAACCCGGGAGGTGGAGGTTGCAGTGA